TTTATGGATAATGGTGTTCTAGGAGATCACAATGGAGTGATATTTGAGAATTTGAGCAGTTTTTTCTTTCCACAATGAAACCGAAAAAAAAAAAAAAGAATGCCATTTTCATTGCCAGGAGCAACTGGGTCTGTTGAGTCCCTTAGCTAGGCAAATATAGCAAGCCTGCCTTGACTTCATTTTGTTTGAGTTTTTTAAAACAGAGAAAAATTGAGCCATCACATTGTTTCAGATTAAAAGGCTAAAATGCAAAAATTCTATAACTGAGCTAGGAGCAATGCCTCATTTCTTTCGCTACCCTGATCACCCCATATCTCTCTTCAAAAACCTTCATCTACTCCCCATTGCCTCCCTGTCATGTCCCAGTGGCTGTGCTGAGATATATTGGTTCACTCAGCTTTTGGGGCAGCAGGAACCTATTATAATGCTGGTCATGGAGGTGGATCGAGAAAATTATTTGGCCAGAGCCACACATGTAAGAAGGGCCCCAAATTTAAATTTTCATGTTAGCTCCAACATGGGCAATATGTTTTGCATGTGAGTTGAAGGTATTTATCACAACATAGATGGAACTAGAGGGTATTATGCTGAGCAGAGTCCGTCAGAGAAAGACAAATAGCATATGATTTCACTCATTTGTGGAATTTAAGAAACAAAACAGCTGAATATAGGGAAAGGGAAGGAAAAATAAAATAAAAACAGAGGAGGCAAACCACAAGAGATAGTGAACTCTAGGCAATTCTAGGAAACAAACTGAGGGTTGCTGGAGGGGAGGTGGGTTAGGGGAAGGGATAATTGGATGATGGGCATTAAGGAGGGCACTTGATGTAATGAGCACTGGGTGTTATATACAACTGATGGATCACTAAATTCTACCCCTGAAACTAATAATAGTATATGTTAACTAAATTAAATTTAAATAAAAAAATAAAAAAAATAAAAAAAATTAAAAAGAAGGTATTTATTAGGTAAATCTAAACACTGAAAAGCAATTGTGGTTTATGTAACTCTGTTTTGGCATCTTATACCTTTTAAAAATTTATCAGGGCATTAAAAATGGAGGATATCCCAGGCTCCTGGGCCTCCTCTGAGGCCCCAGTGGAGTGCTACACTGGCTTTCAATAGTGATGGACATAACGACTAATGAAGAGGACAGATCTTGATTAACTAATCACACAAAGAATTCATTAAAAGAAGAACTGGGTACCTTGAGAAGGTATTAAGGAAGTCTTCTCTTTGGACCATCAGGGAGGATTTCCCTAAGCAGATGAAATTGAAAGAGCAAGGGAGTCAGCAAGATTTGGGGCAAGGGAGTGTTGATTTAAGACAGTAGAAGCAATAGTTCTTAATAATCAATTAGTTTTCAGAGACATAGGTGGCCTCTATGATGATTTTCATACTTTGAGTTTGAGCAAGTAAGTGAATGGTAGTGGTGGTGTTACAAAATCAGTGACTAGGGGAAAATTATTTTCTGGTAGTGGGTGGGTAGATAAGATGATTAGTTCAATTTGTGGGTATGTTGAGTATGAGCAAGTTTTGAGACATCAGAGTAGAGATGTTTTATAAATATATGATCCTTATAAGAAGGACTTAGTTACTCTTGTTAATTTGGAATTTCATAGTGTATAAGATGCTATCCAGGTTCATGGTAGGGGGTAGAAAGAATAGATTTATGGTCTTTCTTCTTGCTTTCAAGAAGCTCATTCTTTAAATGCAGTCAAGGAATTAAATAACTACAGAAGATTCCAGTAACCTTCTAAGACAATAGTTGGAGAAATGTTACAAGCAGTACATGCATGACTGCCAAGAGAATTAAAGAGATGCTTGTTGCTTTTCAGCAGTTTTGTCCAAGTAGAATTCCTCATTTGATTTTACTTTTATTCTACTTTGGTAGTTTGAGGTGAGTTGAGGATAACATGAGCTTGCTTATTGCTATGGGTTATTTGCTTTAGAGGAACTTATTTTACTTTTAGGAGTTAGCTATTGTTCTTTGTTCCATTTCACAGAAAAGGAAACAGAGGCACTGAGAAGTTAAATAACTTGCCTAAGTCACTTAGCTAGTAAATAATAAAGTTGGGATTCAGTTCTAGTCAGCCTGAATCCAAAGCCCCTTCTCAGGTTTGAAAATGCTATTCTTTTCACTAAATATAGCCCCTATCACTTAAGTTATTTGAAAACTTTATTTTAAGTGGCTGTAGGGGTGCCTGGGTGGCTCAGTGGGTTAAGTGGCTGTAAAAATTTTTTAAATCATTCTTCTGATTTTAGACAATGTATATTTTTAATTTAGTGCCTGTATTTCTGGTTAATAAGTTTAGGATAACTTCCTGGAAATGGGTTTCCTATACCAACAAATATAAAACCTTCAAGTCTTCTTAAGACATATCAAATTCTTCTCCAGAAAAGTACAAATAATTTACAGTCTGGACGTATTTTTCAATCCCACATAAAAGCATTTTTTAACACCATATGGCTTCATAAGCCAAGGCAAAGAGGAGAACTCAGTGACGCTGCTAAATATGGTGGTTAGGATGAAGAATCACAGAATGTTCAAGCAGAAAGGAACATCAGGTGTCACCTAGGCCACCTCCTTCTTTTATTAAGAACTAAGGCTTTGAGAGGTTAATGGACATGCCCCAAACCACAACCCTAATTAGAGTCAGAGTTAGGACAAGAATGGGCACTTGGCATTATGTGATATACAACTGACCCTTAAATAACATGGGTGCCAACCCCCTGCACAGTCAAAAATCCATGTATTACTCCTGACTACCGCAAAGCTGAACTACCAGCTTATGGTTGACTGAAAGCCTTATTGATAATATAAACAATTAATTAACACATATTTTGTTTGCTATATATATCATGGACTTTATTATTATGATAAACTAAGCTAGAGGAAAAAGAATGTTATGAAGAAAATCATAAGGAAGAGAAAATACATTTCCAGGATGTGTAAAAAAAATTCTGCATCTAAGTAGACCCAAGCCGTTCAACCCTGTGTTGTCTAAGAGTCAACTATATTGAGTCAGAGTCTCTTAGAAGGTTTGGTTGACTCAGAGGCATGCCAAAATGTCTGCTAGGAGGCTCGACTAGAAATTTAAGAGACTCACACTGTTTGAGTTAACTTCACAGTTCCCCCTTGAAACTTCACACTTGTGAAGGATGTGGAAGTCAACCAAAGGGGTCTTCCCTGAGCTGAGATGCCTGGTACCCACTCAAGGAGATAAAGCCCTCTGCTGGGCCAGAGGAACCTGAAGTCTCCTTTCATCAGTACTCCTACGTCTGGCCTACTGTGAGATTCATTAAGAGGATTCTGCATTCTCTCTTCATTATTCTGTTGATGGTACCGTACTTGTGAACAAAGCACTGCTCACATAATTCAAGACTGATTTTCTATAGCACTGACCAAAAATGGAGGATAGTTCTTTTTATTATTTGCTGCACCATGTAAACATAAGAGTTGTATAAACCATTTACAGTTTGATTTGGCTTGGTATCCATCTGGATAGGCTGGGTTAAGCTCTTTAAGCCAGCTTAATTTGGCACAATTAATCTGAAGCAGACTGGTTGGCCATCCACTATGTTCTGGAAAAGCCATGCAAAGGTTGCCACGGCAGGGACAGGTGAGTTAAAAGAGTCATGTAGGCCCTTAACTCACTCAGCCTGGAAATGACGTGCCATTGTCCATTGGCCAGAACTAGAAACATGGTTTTTGTTTGTTTCTTTAGGTAGGATAAAATTGTTTTCTCATGTTTCTATTTAAATTGCAGTTAGTTAACATACCGTGTGGATTGGTTTCAGGAGTAGAATCCAGTGATTCATCACCTACACACAACTCCCAGTGCTCATCACAACAAATGCCCTCCTTAATGCCCATCAACCCATTTAGCCAATTCCACTACCCACCTTCCCTCCAGCAACCCTCAGTTTGTTCTCTATAGTTGAGTCTCTTATGGTTTGCCTCTCTCTGTGTTTTTATCTCATTTTATTTTTCCTTCCAACCCCTATGTTTATCTGTTTTGTTTCTCAAATTCCACATATGAGTGAAATCATTGGTATTTGTCTCTTTCTGACTGACTTATTTCGCTTAGCATAATTCCCTCTAGTTCCATCCACATGGTTGCAAATAGCAAGATTTCCTTCTCTTTGATGTCTGAGTAATATTCCATTGTAGAAAAATACCACACCTTTGTTAGCAATTCACCAGTTGATGGGCACTTGTGCTCTTTCTATAGTTTGGTTAATGTTGCTAATGCTGCTATAAATATTAGGGTGCATGAACCCCTTTGAGTGTATTTTTGCATCACTTTGGTAAATACCTAGTAGTGCAATTGCTGGGTCATAGGGTAGCTCTATTTTTAACTTTTTGAGGCACCTCCATACTGTTTAGAAACATGGTTTTGATTCACCTGGATAAGAGGCTAGGAAAAGTCTTAGGAGAAATGCTTGAATATTTGATGAGCACTAATGGTCTCTTTTGTATACTCAAGGCTTGATACTTTGAAATTACTTACTTAAAAAATTGTAGGCAATTTTATATCATTTCAAGTTTTAAACATACAGATAAAATTTTCATATTACTTTCCTCCAAATATGCTTAAAGTGTAAATATACGGTGTTGCACATGCTATCACTTTAAGAAATCCTTGAGCTCCCTTTTAAAAACAACATAACTCTTGCTTAATAGTGTGATATTTGGGCAATTCACTTACCTGTCTAATCCTGTGTCCCAATTGAAAATGGAGAGATTGTGTGTCGTAGAGATTGTGTGCAGAATATTTGACATAGTGCCTTGCACAAGGTAAGCGTTCAATGAATATGCATGTTTTTCTTGTTGGTATTGTTGACGTTGCAGTGATTGACAGTAATATCAATTCCTCTTAAATCAACGGTATATCTACTATCATCAGAAAATAGTGTATTTTATGAGAATGAGTGATGTTTTGGCTAAGTTCTGGAAACCAAATGTCTTCATCTTCTATATGTTCTTATCTTGGTAGACATGGGGAGTTTCAAAGGTCATGCCCTCCCTGGAACCTTCTTCATTATCATGGGTATTTGGTGGACCATCAAGTGCATTCTGAAGTATGCCTTCAAAAAGCACAAAAGGACTTCCTACCTTGGCTCCAAAGCATTATTCCATCGAATAGAAATTTTTGAGGGAATGGTATTAATTGGCATGGCCATCACTGGTGAGTGCACCATTTCTGTGTTCTGTTTTCTCCTTTTGGGTATTTCTACATGCAAAGAGAAAATTAAATATCAAATCAAGAAATTGCTAAAATGAATTTTTATTTAAAAAATCTCTGAACACATATTCTAATTGTAATTTCTATCTGATTATAATTTGTTAGAAGGGGATACTTCATGTTTACACAGAAGCCTATTCCTTAATGAGTCAGTCATGGATATTAACTTGCCTGACCACTCAAGGTGACTTTCCTTTATCGAATTAGTTGGAACCTTTGAACTACTTTTATAATATTTATTCTGATGCCTGAAAGAGTAAACTCTATCAGAAACCATTTTTCAAAATGATGCCAAAATAATCAAGTTATTGTGGGAAAGTCTTAGTCGTAAGTTGTTGCTGATGGACTGTACAGAGGGGTCAGGCTGAAGAAGACCTTGCTTTATATACTCATCCTTTTTTGCGTTATTCTTAAATTGAAAAGGGAAGTTAGGCCAGATGACTTCTAAGGACTTTTCATTGACTATAAGGTTCTGAGAAAATTTTCTGTGGTTTTAGAATTCCCTGGTAGCCTCTCCTTTGTGAAAAGCAGAACTTTCTCCTTTCCCTTTGGATTTCTTCATACTTTATTCATGGCAATAGGTCTTTGCTATGGACATGAAATTACAGAGCAACCATTTCCAAAGAGAGGAATTGCCTTGCCAGATTCCATAGATTGACACATACGTCAGTATTTTAAAGAAAGTTTTATTGTTTCTGTACCTGACCAGACTGTGTGCTATAATCTGTGTTTTCTCAGTTATCCTTAATTGAGGAAAAGCTGAACCCTAGTCTTTTGATTCTGAATCAAGCACAACTCTCCATTTCGTGGTAGCTACCCAAAGATGCTACACAAAGATGTAGGATGTGTCAGAAGGAAGTAATCAGACTTTGTACAATTTACCTAGTCATTACATGAAAATGGGAACTAAAACCATCAGTGGAACTGGTCATGGAACTATGAAGAACTGAAATGATCAATTTTGAAGATCTGAAATAACTAGCTGTCTGACTAAATTGGTTATCTTTGACTAAAAGTTGATCATCCAAACCAGTGTTTGAACCTCTAAAACCAGCTGAAAGCACCAGTACTTAGCTGTTAAGGAACAGCCCAGAATGAAGAATCAGCATTATAGAAGGACATTAGATTTGATAAGCCATGGGTTCATCTGGTATCTTCCTGCTTTCTTTGTGAAGTCATGGAAAGGGTTGCTAAAACTGTGATATCTTCCTTTGCAGGCATGCTCGGGGAGCAGTTTATTCCTGGTGGGCCCCACTTAGCCTTATATGACTATAAAGAGGGCCAGTGGGTCGAACTCTTGAGCTGGCATCATTTCACCATGTATTTCTTCTTTGGGCTGCTGGGTGTGGCGAACATCTTGTGTTTTATCATCAGTTCACTTCCCACCTCCTTAACCAAGTTAATGTTGTCGAATGGCTTATTCGTGGAGGGTAAGTATAAGTGAGTATGTTCCTGTTTCACTATCCTTGGACACTTATCTAGGCCTGTACAATAATATTCCTTTAGTGTCTTGGTGCCTCCTTGATCAATTGAGCCATCTGGTTGGGCCATGGGGAGATCGTCAGATGTCCTGCATAGGATGCCAAGGATTTTCCCTCCCTACTGACTCATACGGTAAAATAAGAAAAGCACCATCATTTGATGTGCTTTATTCACATTTCAGATCATTCTTAAAGAACCAGCTGCCATGGTTATTTATCTCTAGGTTATCCTGGAGAAAATTATTATTTCTGTTTTAACAAGGGAAACTGAGTTCAGGGTAGTGAAGCATGAGTATCTTTTTTTTTTTTTTTAAAGATTTTATTTATTTATTTGACAGACAGAAATCACAAGCAGGCAGAGAGGCAGGCAGAGAGAGAGAGAGAGAGGAGGAAGCAGACTCCCCACTAAGCAGAAAGCCCCATGCAGGGCTCCATCCCAGGACCCTGGGATCATGACCTGAGCCGAAGGCAGAGGCTTTAACCCACTGAGCCACCCAGGCACCCCGTAGCATGAGTATCTTGAAACAAGGAGACCACTCACAGCAACCTACTAACCTGCTAACTAGCTATTTTCATATTGATATAATGAAGCTTCACCATTACATGATAAGTGGAGTCAAAAATCAGTCACTAAAAATAGGAGGTCCTATTTTTGAAAGGTTAATGAAAAATACTTTTTATTCAGTTGATGTCCCTCTTACTGTGTAGGGAAAATAGGTGTTTAGTAACTTGTTTTCATTTATTGTATTTTTAAGGAATAGATTAATTATGGAACTAAAAAAGCCCATGGGGTACCTGGGTGTCTCAGTTGTTAAACATCTGCCTTCAACTCAGGTCATGATCTCAGGGTCCTGGGATCAAGCCCCTCGTTGGGCTCCCTGCTCAGCAAGAAGCCTGTTTCTCTCTCTCCCACTCCCCCTGCTTGTGTTCCTTCTCACTGTCTGTCAAATAAATAAATAAAATCTTAAAAAAAAAAAGAACTAAAAGGCCCCAGATTATCAGAAGGGGCCATTTCCTAACTGATCACCTTCCCTCCCATATCTGAATATAAGGACTTTTGCCAACCCCTCTCTGAAAACAAAGGCTAGCTAAAATATGGGCATCAAAAACCAACAGCAAGATTCTCAGTATTTCAGGGTGTTACCATATTTTGGGTGAACATCTTTTCCTCCTCATCTACATGAAAAGGTTGAAGATAAAGCTGGAATCTGTTCATGGGATTAAAAAATATAGGTAGTTACTACTTCTTGGGAGCTTCCAGAGCATCTTTTCATACCTAGCAAAGTCCTCTCTTATGATTTGTACATATATGTATTTGCTTACTCCAATGGACTGAATTCCTTCAGGCTAGGTTCTGTTTCATTCATCTGTGTGTTCACCCTAACTCTTTCTCCTGTCCCATCACCCTTACTATTCATCCTCCTGCATAGAAGATGCTTTGAAATATAGTTAGTTAAAAAAGTATGATATGTTAGACAAGGAAAGGGAAAAGGAATGATTGATCCTTATTCTTAAGAGGTAGTGATGTTGGGAGGCCTGGGTGACTCAGTGGGTTAAGCTTCTGCTTTCAGCTCAGGTCATGATTCCAGGGTGCTGGGATTGAGTCCTGCCATCAGGCTCCTTGCTCAGCAAGGAGACTGCTTCTCCCCCTGGTTGTGCTCACTCTCTGACAGAGAAATGGTAGATGTCCCTTGGTTTCACTGAATAAGAGAAACTGTTTCTTCCCTCTCTATCAGCTTTTGTCTTGTACAATCACACTCATGGCCGGGAAATGCTGGACATCTTTGTGCACCAGCTGCTGGTCTTGGCTGTCTTTGTGGCAGGCCTGATTGCCTTCTTGGAGCTCTTCATACGGACCAATGTCACTGTGGAACTTCTTCGGACAAGCTTTATCCTGCTTCAGGGGAGCTGGTTTTGGCAGGTGAGTCGGGGCCTCCAGTGAAGGCATCTGGTGTTTCCATCTGTACTCTTCTCTCTTTAATGGGGTATTTTGATCCAGAATCAGGGACTTCCTTCTGATGTGCCACCTGTAGGGAGAATGTGGGTCTTTGAGAGGTGATGTTTCTTTGAGTAGACCAGAGGCCCTAGTGGGAGTGCTGATAGAGCGGCTGGAAAGTAAGTGGGGTGTGGCCATCTTCCTCACACACCTGGATATCCATAATGTAGGAATTCTGGGCCATTGCTTGTTGTGGGCAGCAGGTGCTAATGCTAATGCAATTTACAGCCTAATGAATAATGGGCTTGAGAAATACATGAAAAGCAGAAAGGAGAGGAAATGACTAATTATTGAGAAACAATGATGTGCCAAGGACCCTACAGGACTATTTCATACATGTTGTTTCAATTTTGTCCTCACAGTGACTTGGAAGTTAGGTATTATCATCCCAAATTTATGGATAGGACTCCAGGAGACAATGTGACTATCCCAGACTCACACAGTAATGGAACTAGCATCTAAATGTGGGTCTGGTTGACCCCAAGTCCCGGGCTCTTTCCATTTTACTCTGTTGACTACCTAAGCTTGGCGTGTTGTCAAAAACATATATTCCAATTAGTGAACTTATATTTTATAGACACTGGTAAATCATACTCTAATATGCACATATAGATATAAGGAAATCCTGAGATGAAAGGCAAATGTGGTTTAATAGGGGATGACTTCTTAGAGGAGATATTTCGTCATCAGAAAGCAGAAACTTGGGATGAGGTTATCGCAGGGATTTGCAAGCTATTAGTGTTCCATTAATAATTAATGATTTATTAAGAATCTGAGGGAAGAAGCATGGGCTGTCACAACTGAGACCAGAGAAATAATGTTTTCACATTTTACCAAAAGCTTTTCTAGGAAAGAGCTATGGGGTTAAAAAATCTTTGGGCATAAATCTGTGACTATTTAAAAATCTTTTCCATCTATGAGTATGTCTAGACTAGTTTCCTTTTTTACCTGGTGGCTAGACTAAATAACGTTTGGCGGCTTAAAGAAAAATGAACATTTAATACCAGTACAAACACACACACTGGCAGGAAATGAAGGTTTAGCTGTAGTACCTCTCTCCACCCTCAGATTCCTCTGAAACAAAAATGTCTGGAGACGTAGATGAATTTATTCTGCTTTTATTTTGATGTTATGTGTGGTAAATGAATGTTTATGGCCAAAACTCTGTCATAAGCTAATAATAGGACATCGTGAATTGCTTTTCACCATATTTTTTCTCTCTCTACTTGTCCACAGGTGGTTAATACTAGTGCATAAACAATATGTAGACAGATTAGCACACCTAGATTCTTGGAACTATAAAGGAGTTGGGAAATGAGTGAGGCAAATGTTCAGATTGGCCATTTTTTAATAACTCATACGTAAATGATGGGGTAATAGGCAAATTTCAAGAGAACTATGCTCCCAATCTTTAAGAATGGTTTCTTTCCCGAAGCTCATTACAGTCAGGTATGTTTTCTCAGAGACTGTCATGAGCACACTATGAAGGCACACACAGGAGTTGTGTCTTTCCACAATGTCAGCTTTATTCAATCATGAAGCAAAGTTAAATCGCAATGATAAAGCAGGTTCGGGATTCCAAACTTGATGACATTTCACCGTGAGATTAAACTTGGCTTGTTACACAGCACACAAAGCAGGACAAGACAAATCACACAACAAGCAAGATAACAAAAGGGTGTAGGAGATTAAAGAACCAAACTTGATGTCAGTCTGTGGGCACACAGTTGAGATAAGGCCTCTGTCGACCTCGGTTTGGTCCGTGTCAGCTCTCCGCACTTAACTGCTTATGTTCAAGCAGTGAAGGATCTCGGTTCTGTTTGGAGATCCGCTGGGCAGAGCCTTCCATGGCAGCTGCCTTTTTAAAATGGTGAGACAGAGAGGGATTAATATCTGAAGAGTCTGACAGTTTGCTGCCAAAATCCTTCCCTTTTTAAAGGGATTTAATTGGTTTTGGGTCCCTGCAGACCTCCTCTGGTTCTACTCGCTATCAGTTCTGGGGTCCCCGCCATACTGCCTAGCTCCTGCTTGTCATGAGGGACTCCATTTTGCTCTCTTTGAAAACCTATCCATATCATGCAATTTAAAAAAGAAAAAGATATCCTTCAGGCCCATTCATTCCATGAAACATGGTTTATCTGAGACTCTTTGTGGGAAAATACTTTTATTTTTTAAGATTTATTTATTTATTTGAGAGAGCAAGAGAGAGAGAGAGAGAGAAAGGCAGAGAGAGAGAGAGAGAGAGAGAGAGAGAATGAATGGGGGAGGGGGAGGGGCGATGGAGAGGGAGAGAGAGAGAAAATCTCAGGCAGATTCCCCACTGAGCACCGAGCCCAGACTAGAGGTACTGGCGGGATGGAAGACTCAATCTCACAACTTCAAGATCACGATCTGAGCCAAAATCAGGAGTCGGATGCTTAACCAACTGAGTCACCCAGACACCCCTGTGGGAGAGTATTTTTAAAGCTCATTTTTGCACTTTGTCATTTCCAAGTTCCTCCCCATCACTGTTTCATGCAGGAGGAAGATAACTTCTGTTGTCTTTACTTCCCATTACTTTGAACAGTATCTGATGCATCACCCACCCCTCATTAATGCCCCAGGGACTCCTCCCATGACTTCCCAGATCCTGAGCCTAAAGTAAATGCAGCTTTGTTTTGTCTTTAAGAAAGATAAAAGTTCTGAATCTCGGAACACTGGAAAAAAAAAAAAAAGAAAAGATAAAAGTTCATTCAGAGATGTTAAAAAGACCCAACTAAGCAGTAATGGTCTGAAGTCTGGTATGATAGATCATACACTTGTTTAAGACTAATAGTGTTAAAATAAGTGATTGGAGCATAAGACATAATACACCAGGAAATTCTATCTTTAACCTATGGGAAATGGGCCCCTGGCTTGTTGTGTATTAGGGAAGATAATTATTTACATTTTAAATGTGATATTGAACTAGTCAAAACCAGATATTCAGGAATGCCATAGAAGATACAGCAAGAAAAAAAATCTTTTTCAGACCTTTTTTTTTTTTGGTTAGAATTTTACATTAGGAAGCAAATTAGGATACCCAATGAGAGAGTAGTGGCTGATTCTATATTTCAAGTGGAAATTTATTCTTTCACTCTTCTGGAGGCCAGAAGTCTAGAAATCAAGGTGTCAGTGTGTTGGGGGCCCACAGGCAGAATCTGTGCGATGCCTCTCTCCTTGAGAGCTGCCAGCAATCCTTGACATAACTTGGCTTATGGAAGCGTAACTTCTACCTCTGCCTCCAGAGTCACGCCTGTGTTTTTCTGTGTACCTGTGTCTTTACATGGCCTTCCATAATAAGGATACCGGTCATTGGATTTAGGGCCAGTTCTAAAACACTATGACCTCATCTCGAGTTGATGACATCTGCAGAGACTTTATTTCCAAATAATGTCACATTCACAGGCACCAAGTGTTAGGACATCAACATATCCTTTTGGAGGCACACAACATAACTCACAACAACTGCTAACCTCTACCTCTGGGAGCTGTAGCAAATCACTCCCCAAGCAGGGATAGATGGGTGGATGGCATTGGAAGGACATCGGTGGGACCAGTAGGTAAGAACTGGGGAGCTGGTCCATAGTTCATTACACTCAACTCTCCCTTAAAGAAACTTACTTGACACAATTTCTTTGTTACCTTTCATAAGTTGCTTCAAAAGGAGGGCATGAGGGGAATGAAGATAATGATATCTTATTCTTGGGGTTATGATGAGGACTGAGAATTATTGTGAAGTTTATGTGCATGAATGAGGTTAAGGTGCCCCACACCTAGTGATACATATATTGGGTGGTACAAAGAGAATTCTTTAGAATGGGAAATAGGAACAAGTGATTAAGACCCAAGTCTTATTTTTTCCTAATTTAATCAGGTTATGTGAAATTTCAAACAGAAATGGAATTAAAGTTTCACTCATAACTATGGACTAAATGCTTTTTTTTGTTGTTGTTCCTGTAAAATTTCATTTATTAGATGTGTGATCCTAGGCAAATTATAAAACCACCCAATTTTCTCACCTGAATGATGAAGACAATAGTACATTAAAGTGGGGGTAATAATACGTCATTTAAAGGCCATTGTCAGGAAACTCCCAACCACTGTAACTGACAGTTACCGTTCTTTTTAGCCAGTGGACATTCATACAATTATCCTTGTAATTATCTTGGTATTATATTTTATTTAGTTCTAGAGACCTGACCTATGTCCATTCACCATCCCGCCATCTGTCCATCATTCTTCCCTCTCTCTCTCTATCTTGTTTTTGGTTAGGATAAAATTTACATAACAGAATTAACTATTTTAGAGTATATAATTCAGTGCCATTTAAGGACATTCACAATATTGTACAAGTATCACTGCTATTCAGTTCTGAAACATTTTCATCACCCCAGAAGAAAACCCTGGAACTCTGAAGCAATCCTTCTCTTTCGCTCTCCTCCCAACCCCTGATAACCACTAATTTGCTTTTTCTTTCTATGAATTTATGTATTCTTGATATTTCATGTAAATAGAATCATACAATATGTGACCTTTTGTGTCTGCCTTCTTTCCCTTAACATAATGTTTACAAGATTCATCCATGTTATATCACATATTAGTGCATCATGACTTTATGGTTCAATATTCCATGATATTGATATACCACATTTTGTTTATTCATCATCAGTTGACAGACAATTTGGGTTGTTTTCAACTTTTGACTGCTATGAGTAATGCTGCTATGAACATTTGTTTATAAATTTTTGTTTGAATATTTGTTTTCAGTTCTTTTGAGTATATGCTTGGGAATGGTATCACCAGGTGATATGATAATTAATGCTGCATTTAACTTTTTGAGAAACTGACCAGTTGTTTTCTACAGTGACTGCACCATTTTCTATTCCTACCAGCAATTTACAAGGATTCTAATTTCTCCATATTCTTACTAAAACTTGTTATTTATTATTTTTACCATCCTAGTGAGTGTGAAGTGGTATCTCCTTATGGTTTTGATTTGCATATCTATAATAAGTGACAATGTTCATCATCTTTTCATGAGTTTATTTACCACTTGCATACATTCTTTGGAGGAATGTCTCTTCGACTCATTTGTTCACTTAAAAATATTTGTTTTTTGTCTTTTAGCTGTTGAGTTGTAGGAGGTCTTTATATATTGTAAAGATTAATTCCTTATCAGATATATGACACAGCAGTATTTTATCCCACGCTGTGGGCTCTCTTTTCATTTTCTTGATAGTGTCCTTTGATGTACAAAAGTTATTTAATTTTTGTGAAGTCCAATTTATCTACTTTTTGTTTGGTTGATTGTATTTTTGGTGTAGGATCTAAGAAGAAATCCCCAATCCCAGGGCATGAAGCTTTCCTCTTATGTTTTCTCCTGAGAGTATTATTTATTTATTTATTTATTTATTTAAAAGATTTTATTTGTTTGTTTGACAGACAGAGATCACAAGTAGGCAGAGAGGCAGGCAGAGAGACAGAAGGGGAAGCAGTCTCCCCGCTGAGCGGAAAGCCCGATGTGGGACTCGATCCCAGGATGCTGGGATCATGACCCTAGCCGAAGGCAGAGGCTTTAACCCACTGAGCCACCCAGGCACCCCTAGTTTTATATTTCGTCTTTGATCTGTTTTGAGTTAATTTTTATATGGAGTGTGAGACAAGGGTCCAGATCCATTCTTTTGCATGTGGATATCCAGTTGTCCCAGCACTGTTGTAGAGACTACCGAGTTACCCACTGAATGGCCTTGGAACTCTTGTCAAAATGAATTTGCTACAGACATATAGATTTATTTCTGGAGTCTCAGTTCTATCTCATCAATCTGTATTTCATGATGTCTATACCACACTATTTTGATTACTGCAGTTTTTATAATAAGTTTTGAAATTCATAAGCATGGGTCTTACAACTTTGTTTTTATTTTTTGAGGTTGTTTTGGCTATTCTGGGTTCATGGTAATTACATATGATTTTTAGGATCAGCTTTCCATTTCGGTAAAAAAAGACCATTGGGATTTTTTAAAAATTTGAATTCAATTAGCCAGTGTATAGTACATCATTAGTGTTTGATATAGTGTTTAGTGATTCATCAGTTGCATATAACACCCAGTGCTCATCACATCACGTGCCCTCTGAGGATCGAGGAAGGGGAGGTGAGTGGGGATGGGCATTAAGGAGACCATGGGGATTTTGATGGAGATTGCACTGAATTTGTAGATTGCTTTGGGTGTTATTGCCATCTTAACAATATTAAATCATCCAGTCCATGAACATGAGATGTATTTCCATTTAGGTCTTAAAATTTTCAACAATGTTTTGCAATTTTCAGTGTACAAGTCTTAAACCTCTTTGATTAAATTTATTCCTAAGTATTTTATTTTTTTCAGTGCTATTGTAGGTAACATTGTTTTCTTAATTTAATTTTTGTGTTGTTCATTAGACGTGTATAGAAATACAACTGAATTCGTGTGTTGATTTTGTGTCCTGCAAGTGTGCTGAATTCATTTATTAGCTCCAATGGATGTGTGTGTGTGTGTGTGTGTGTGTGTGTGTATTCTTTAGGGTTTTCTATATATAAGATCATATCATCTGTGAATATAGATAGTTTCACTTCTTCCTTTATAATCTGGATGCCTTTTATTTTACTTGACTAATTTTTGGCTAGAAATTTTTAGGACAATGTTGAATAAAAGTGGTGAATCCAACACCCTCCTTTTGTTGCTGATCTTAGGGGAAAAGCTTTCAATCTTTGATCACTGAATATAATGTTAGCTGTGAGCATTTATTTATTTACAAACCTCTTTGTACTCCAATTTTGAAATAACTGAGTGAAACTGCACAGCTTAGAAACCTGGCACATTCTCTGAAAGTCCACTAACCCACAGAGATGATTACTATTTATATTTTGAAAATTGCTCTTCAAATGCCCTTAACACTTTTTTTTTTTTTTTCAAAATTGTGGCCTGGTAGATGCTATCTGTATTACTAAAGCAGGCAGTAAGACCTAATGTCTTATCTGTAACATCTCAGATAACTGGAGTTACCTTAGTTAAGATTAATCTTAGAACCAAACATTTTGAAATATACTCTCTTTGGGAATGCGGCTGATTATTTTAATATATGTTTTTTGTTTTAAATTACAGATTGGTTTTGTCCTTTATCCCCCCAGTGGAGCTCCTGCATGGGATGCAATGGATCATGACAACATCATGTTTCTTACCATATGCTTTTGTTGGCATTATGCATTAAACATTGTTGTTGTTGGAATGATTTATGCCTTTGTCACTTGGTAAGTTAGTGATTTTTTTGTTCATGTAAGTTCTATTTCTTGGTATATGATCATCAAGACTCAAAAGTATTGAACTTTAGATTTGAAGGGGGACTCCATTCCTTAGTATTCCACAAGACAGGGTAATGCAGCAGAAAATTATCTGCAAACCCAGAAAGTCCCCCTTGAAAGAATAAATGCTGGTTTAAAGTTAGACTCATTCAACTGTGTCTCAGCTGTGTCTTTGACCTGTGGGTCACCTTTCAACACACTTTTTTGTGCCTTTGTCTCTTTGCATATGCTGTCTCCTTTTCCAGATGGTCCTCTCCATACCTTCAGGGAGCCCTCCACTTGCTCACATGTACATTAATCATAGCAATTCACAAGCTTGGTGTCATTTTTTGACCAAAATTTATGTCTCCCATTAAATTTGAGTATATGATTAATTTGACATTTGCTTTAATATTTCTAAAAGTAAGAGTCAGTTGAAAAATCATATTTTTTAAAAAGAAAATTTATTATCATAAAAAAGAAAAATCATATTTTTAGACCCCAATACAATGTCTCACAGTGGATGAAGAACAATAGAACAGATTGATAAAATATGTATTTCTAGGTCTGCCACCTATCAGCTATATGACTTTGGACAAATTATGCAACCACATTAAGTCTCAGTTTTATTGTTTACAAAATGGGAATAATAACAGTACCTAAATGAGATAGGTGTTTACACTGCTTAGGACATAACGAGGGCACAGCGGAGGTTATTCTTCTTCTTGTTGATCTTGTTCTTTTTGTTACTTTTCTTGTTTTCCTCCCCTCCTCCTCCTTCTGTATCACAAAAGACATAATGTATAGACCCTAAGGAAGAGAGAAAGACAATTTATTTTTATTTTTTATTATTATTTTTATTATGTTAGGTTAGTCACCAGAGATAGACAATTTAAATACAGTGCAGTAGGTGGAAATAGTAGAAGAAAGTACTGTTGGAGCCCAGAGGAGGCTTCCTCGCAGTTGAGAATTAAGCCTTAGCTTGAAGGATGAAAAGAAACAGAAGGAGCTGAACATGATTCCTGTCTTTAAGGTAGCTAATACCAAGTCATAATGGGTCTGGCTAGTTCCAACTACTAGGCATGCAGGATCCACACTTAATTCTTCAGACTTCAGCACTGACCTAAATGTTCTATATCTGCAGTCTTCATTTTGGTGACCATGAGCTACTTGACTGTGGTTTCTGAGCACTTGGCATGTGCCTAATGTCACATTAATATTAATTAACTTAAATATCTGTAAATGCATAGTGTCTAGCATATTGGGCAGTATATGTCTAGTAGGTTCTCTGGATTCCTAAAATGTGGTAACTGCTTTTAGGCTCAGTGGGGTCTCAGCCTCTTCAAAAACTAGCTTTCTACTCTTCTCTCCCAGGTCACCTCTCTTGCCTTGTGCTTCTTTGAGCTTCACTGCTGAAGCAGCTTTGGTGCTGGGTCTCTAAGTAAGAGAACCATTTCCTTGTTTAGCTCCAGATGTCTCTGCTAGGCTTTGGGTCAGCTTACTTTGATCTGTATATACCTCCTTCTAGAGGTCTAAGTGCTTTGGGTACTAGGAGATTCTAGCTTCTCATTGACTGATTTCTATTAGTCCTATTTCATTCCTCCAAAGCATGCACATGGTTGGTAAGACTGGCTCTGCCACTGAGTGAAACTTGGCTTCTTCCTCTGTTGTTCTAGGCTGACATCTGGGCCTCATCTCTTTAGGGGCTGGGAAGCCTCCAAGAATAATGGCAACATTCAAGGAGCCTCTCTAGCTCATGTCAGCTCCCTTCCAGAGTCAAAAGAAGACTACTGTCTCTTCCTGTTTCAAAAAGCTTCAGACCTCTCTTATCCACTTACAGTTTTCTAGAAACCAGAAAGTCCATGTTGACTTCCTCAGCCTTTACCTTTTTGACCACTTAGTCCCCTCTACCCGGCATATTCAAATTAAATGCTTATCTCTTCTATGAAAACTTTGTGACTGTTCTAGACTCATCTCCTTTCATGAGTTTTCTAGCACATTAGTCACTACTACCCTTTTTTGTAATCGCAATCTATCTTTACTGTTAGCTCATGTCAGCCTTACCTGTTAGCTAGATTGTAGCAGCTTGAGGAAAATACCCTTTTCATGTTTTGCACAGATCTTGGGATGTTGTCAAATGGCATTCCATTTAATGAGTAGGTACTCAATAAACATTTATTTACTGTTTTAATAGATCTGCTTCAGAGTTACATGAATATGGGCTTTGTTTGTTTGGAAATCATGTTTCAGATGCTTTTCAGTCTTGCTCTCATAATGCTCTTGGAAATATAAAAACAAGAGCTCATGTTGTGAGGTATATTGATATAAACTTAAGCAAGAACCTAAAAAATATAATGAAGATTCAGTACTGACTTTCAGTGAGGTCACATGGCAGGCTAATTCAGTTGTATAATCATAAGGAGTTTTGACAATCTATTTTTCAGGATTTGACCGGAGTAGTTTCTAAGTCAGTCACAGGTGATGGATTTTTAGGACATTATATCAGAATTTGTTTGACAAAGTGCAAAGACCATGATGGAAACAAAACTAGGTTATGGAACCACAACCCCCCAAATCTCAGAAAAATGAAGTTGTACTTCCCAGCTTTCCAGAATAATGGTTCAAAGATTGCCTCATTCAGCCCCATACCTGCAGTTCTGAAATAACAATTTGTAAGAGAGACTGACCTGTTTGGAAATTTTGTTAGATATTCTACTGTATTTCATATTTAAACACTACTGTTCATAGAAATATTTCAAAAGCCCCTTTCTATGGGTAGAGAAGTACGCCCACGTTCAGGTTGGTTTCCTAAGCAATAATCCAGGTGACTCATTTTGAAGAACAAAATAGAGATGTCCAAATCCCAGGAATATGACAGTTTGCCTTCTGGAAGTTTGATTTCCAGATGGACTCTGGAAGTACACCCAGAGTGTCAGTTCTGCTCTTTCTCTTATTAATTGAAGAAAACCTATGGGAGCACAACCTCAGACTCACTCATGCTAACCTTAGTATCCTGGACTAACATCATTCCAGGAACTAGCAATTATTTGCACTTCCTATTTATCATTCCAGCCTTTAATCTGTCTCCAGCACCCATTTATGCATGTGCCAATACCCAGGTCTACAGGGTGCAGACAGAGCCTGAACATGTCTCAGCTTGGGAGCTTATAGTAACAGCAGACACAACCCAGGAGGGAGACGTGGGAAACAGAAAGAGTCACCCATGAAGGAGGAGTGGGAAACAGGAAGGGCCTGTGTTAACAATTAATTTGTAATAAGTAACCATATGTTTGTTTTAATTTCCACATGAGCCATCAGGAATGTATCTAATTACTGAATTAACAGTTAATCCATTTTGTTGAGCATGTATTGAGGTTGTGCAATGTAGAGATAACCATGTGGATCTGAGATATGACACAAACACTGTTACCGCCTTCAAATTGTTTAAGCCTATTAGTATTTCATGAGTACAATGCCTTGAAGAGCTGAGGACATCAGAAGCAATGTCAGTAGTCAATTAATAATCAAGGCAAATTATTTCAATTGGTTTCCTTGATCTTGATGAGTCAATAGTTGTTACTGGTACTACTCAGTTGTTATATATTGGAGGAGTTAATGCTGAGTTGAAAGTGACTGAAGAATTAACCTCTATGAATAAGTGAGTGATGTGGACTCCTGGCAGATTGCTCTGAAGGCCATTGATTTGTCAGATGTGTGTTGAGCCACTGTTATGCACCAGTTGGTCTAGGCTCTGGCTAGTGGTAGGGCACTAAATAAGATAGTCTTTGCTCTTACGAAGCTTATATTCCCATAGGATCCAGAGCACAATAAAGTCACTGCATATTTATGGGGGAAGGCCAGACCTTCACTGGAAAAAGAGAGGCAGAAGATAAGGGATGCAGATAGGCTGGTGAAGTTTTTCACAAAATGAGAATGATTGTGATGACTTGGTGTATCAAATTTGTTTGTACATTCCTATGTACTTCTGGAATTTAACTGTGTTCTATCAATATGGTCGTAATACTGTGTCTTTACGAATAATTATGCACTGGAAAGCTTTGCTTAGATTTTATTACATCAGAGAAGTGGAGAGTCTGCTGAGTTTCTGGGAATAAGAACCTTCGTATCTTCCAGGGTCAAAAATGATACTCTGATTTCCCCCAGACCTACAGATCTCTTAATCTATGAAAACAATCACATTGGGGGAGGGCACCTCTTCCAACTTCCTAGTTCACCATGGATCACACACGGACCATCGACCACATGCAATTGAGCAGTCCGTGGCCTGCACAAAATCACTCCTCTGAAGGCACACGTTGGGAAGGACTGGACATGGGGCTTGACACGGGGAAGGAGATGCCTCTATACACTTTCCAAGAGAGGACTCCTTTTTGCAATACATACCTAGGTGCGGACTTGATGGAAAAGCTCTCAGCTGAACTTGGTTTCATCTTGGCTTGCTGCTGCCCAGAGATTCTCTTGTTTGTTTTAGAAATGATCAAAGCTATGAATGATTGGGCATTTTCTGAAACCTGAACAATCATGTTGTACATTTAAAAACTGATTTTACTTATTTACTTATACCCTGTTTCAATCCACAAAAAGTTTTCAGGTAGCTCCAAAGCCAAATAAAAGTGATTTTCTCTTTTGGATCGCCTCTCCCATTTGCACAGATAATTGGGAGTTTGTTGTATTATAGATAGACGTTGTTCTGGTTTTTTCTTAAACAGCATAACATGAGATACCTTTCATTCTCCTCAGGTTGGTTAAATCTCGACTTCAGAGGTTCTGCCCCTCAGAAGTTGGACTCCTGAAAAATGCTGAACGAGAACAAGAATCAGAAGAAGAGATGTGATTTTGATGGGCATTTTAGTTTTTCTGGATGAACTTCTCTTTTCTGGATTAGTTTTGTTCATGGTTTTGTTTTTTGGCCTTTTGCTTGGAGAACAGACAGCTGAAGGTGATTCTTGGTATATTGTTTGTATTTCCAATTTGGTTAAAGTATTTGAATTCAAATATTTTATTTTTAGGTTTGTAAGTACTTTGGGTGATAAAAATGCATTTTGCACATTAGTCATGGTATTTGGGGCCTGGAGCGGCTATTCTCAGATCATCTAAAGTTAAAATCCACGCTAAGAAAAATTTTTTATTTGCATTATAGATATGCTCAAGGTTCCTGGGCTTACTACCATTTGTAACTCATTAAACATGAAATTACACCTGTTTATCCTGTTGCTACAATGAGAAATAAATGAATGCAGGAACCTTGGTAGAGACATCTCGAGTCTTTTTCTTTTCTTTTCTTTTTTTTTTTTTTTACATTCTCATTTCCTTCTTTCTTTTTTATTTAAATTCAATTAGCCAATATATAGTACATCATTAGTTACAGAGGTAGAGTTCAATAATTCATCAGTTGCATATAACACCCAGTGCTCATCACATCATGTGTCCTCCTTAATGCCTATCACTCAGTTACCCCATCCCCCCAACTAACTCCCCTACAGGAATCCTCAGTTTGCTTCCTATAGTTAAGAATCTCTCATAGTTTGTCTTCCTCTCTGGTTACTTCCCATTCAGTTTTACCACTCCCCTTTCCTATGATCTTCTGCACTGTTTTAAGCAGCAATGTCCACAACAGCCAAACTGTGGAAGGAGCTGAGGTGTCCATTGACAGATGAGTGGATAAAGAAAATGTGGTATATATCTACAGTGGAATATTACTCAGCCATCAGAAAGGATGAATACTTACCATTTACGTTGACATGGATAGAACTGGAGGGTATTATGCTAAGTGAAACAAGTCAATCAGAGAAAGATAATTATCATATTGTTTCATTCATGTGTTTCTTAAATTCAGCTGCACCTCACCCTTGCATCATGAAGAAGGAGCAGTGTGACAAATTCCTTTTTGTGAGACATCTCCTTTTGTAGCACCTGACTTGTGCCCTGAGAAAAGTAACACAGCAGTCATCCTGAGTTGTGCAGTCTTTTAGAGAAGATGAGAGAAGTGATCCCTAGCGTGGATGCAAAGCTATGAGAGATTGGAAAGGGGAGTTATGATGTTATCTATAGAACAAAAAGTCATCACCACAGCATAGCATGGCCACCATACTATCCCCTCTGCTGAAATAGTGGAGGGTTAAAATAAGGAAAGATATTTTACAGATTACCTGGGTAAAAAGTCAGAGCTCTTACCTCATCTTGCACTAAATAGCCCTTAGTGGAGAGTCAAGAAATCTTATTTCTAATTCTGGCTCTACAATTAACCGGCCTCTAGCACTTTAGCAATCACCATGTCCTCTCTAAAGTAAGGGAATTGAGCTGCATGAGGCACTTTCTGGCTATCACATTTTATGAATCTAGAATCTTTGAGACAAAGTGAAGCTGACAGCTGATTTAGTACCATGTTAGTCAGAAAGGCCAGTCTCTGACATGACACCAAAGGTAAGGAGGGTTTCAGGAATCCTTGAGGGCTGATTGAATATAGAAGAAAGGAAGCAGCCTCATGGGAAGCTGGAGGAGAAATGTGGGCAATTAAATCCTGCAGTTCCATGGCATTCTAGAGACACTGACAAATGCAGAAGCCTGTCTGGTATTATCACAGTGATACTGGAGAGAGAGGTGAGTAGATTCTTCAGGCCAGAGAACTGGACACATTCATTGTTTTTTTTACATAAAGGTTGCAAAGAACTGATGTGGGTGCCCGAAGACTAATTTTGAATCCTACGATAAAGCTGATTCTGGCATATGAATTGCCCACAAGAACGTGATGGCAGCATGTGATTATGGCATTCTGCCCCATGTCATCCTCTATCTTCTCTAGTCCAGCAAGCTTTTAGAACTTTGGCAAGTTTGTGTTTCAAAAGAGTGAGCTGTCAGCTGCAGTTCATGAAAATGGCATTGCTGGGATATAGGTCCGACTCTAAGAATAATGAGTCAAAACCATATTAAGGCTACAATTTTGAAAACTGATATAAGAGCAAATATTCTCGCAGTCTTTATGAGAGAGCAGAAATATCCTTTCCTCCCGTCTCTGGACGGAAAGAATGCAAGTGAGATGCAACTCGGTGAGTTGTCTGTGGAGGAACATTTGGTTCCAGTGCAAGGCCACAGCCTGAGGCTATCTGCCTCTAGTCCCTGATATGAACAATACATTTGAACACCATTGCTGTAACTTTAAGGAAGCCTTCACGAAGGAAGGAATAGGAGAGGATGCCCTTCCTTATTTCTATTTGTATTTTATCTCAACTCCTCCAACACCCTGGAATCTCAATTCCTAAGCCTTCGTCAAACTTCCTTTATGGGTATCTCATGCTTCATTCGCCATAAACAAAGTAAAGAAACTCTTATATAATCCAGTCCATTATCAACATTGGCTGCTGATGTGACACCATCTCATCAGTGATTTCTATAACTTCCAGGCTCCTTTGCTTGGGGAATGTGCAGTACAACTTCTGATTGCATTACCTTCCAGCTCATTGTTGAAAGGGGAGATTGGGTCATGACCATTGTGGTATACTCCTCATCATTTTGTCACTACAGGGCTCATTAACTGAGGCTATATTGTTTGTATGTGGGATGTGGATTCATAAAGTGGTGCAGGAGTCACTTGGGGGACTAAGGGATAATGGAAATAAAAGCTGAGAAGTGATGAATTCTCCTAAAATTCAAGGAGTGAATAGATTAAAAAGCCATGAAAGAAAAGTTTGTACACATGGAGAACAGATCCAGAAATTCTATATCCTGTTGAATGTGAGTGAAGTCTAGAGAAGATTGAGAGAATTGAGGACAAGCATAGAATAAAAGAATTTTCCCCATGTAAATGACAATGAGGAGAGATTTTTGTTTTAAGCTTAAGGAGGTACTTCAAGAGATGTGCAGTGATGAGTGACTGGGTTTCTGGACTAACCCAGTGAAAATGGGAAAACTTAATCATTTTTATATTTTGAGTTCAATTTATAAATATTATTCTATTTTTGAGTCTTGTAAATTTAAACACTCGATTTTAAGGAGATTTTGAGGTTAGGGCACAATTTTACATTTAGATAATTAGATTTCCCTTTAAGCATCTTGAATTGTATCTATGAATTAAATATTTTTTGTATTATTCTTAAGAAGGAAACTTCAATTAACTGACAAATCTTCCCAAGTTGTTAAGTTATTCTTGCAAATCTAATGTGTTAAGCTTATAAATGTGGTGAAACATAAGTGTCTTTAAAAAAAAAAACTGGGGGGTGGAGGGGAGAGGCAAAGGGAGAGGGAGAGAGAATCTCAAGCAGGTCCCACACCCAGTGCGGAGCCTGATTCAGGGTTCAGTCTCAGGACCCTGAGATCATGACCTCAGTTGAAATCAAGAGTTGAATGCCCAACTGGCTGAGCCACTCAGGTGCCCCAAAGCATAAGTTCTCTTAAATGTTCTGCTGTAGTATGTAAACTTAGTGAAAATCACAAGCCTAAATCTGTTAATTAAACATTTATAAATTAGACCTGCAAGAGTAATCAGTGTAGATAAAACTATTTTCAAAATTATAAATACCTAAAATATTACGCATGTACAGTTTCTTAACACAAATATCTTTATGAGTTTGATTCTCTTAAATTACCGTACTTTAATGCTAAGACTTTCCACGATAAGATAGGCTTACTGTTAAGGAAGTGACATATTTTTTTTTAAGATTTTATTTATTGATTTGACAGATCACAAGTAGGCAGAGAGGCAGGCAGAGAGAGAGGAGGATCTTGGATCATGACCTGAGCTGAAGGCAGAGGCTTTAACCCACTGAGCCGCCCAGGCGCCCCAAGGAAGTGATATATTTATGATAGGCAATGTTGGGAAATACCTAGTCTACTCCTTGAGCTCTCGAACCTGAATACTGAATGGAATAGGATTCTCGACAGTGGCCCAAACAGCACATGCTGAATCCTGTTATTTATGGTCATTCTCTACCAGATTCTCCACACAAGCTGTCTCCCGGCCTTTTAAAGCACAGGGAAGGCACCATCCTGAGCTAGAGTCATCCTTAAAATTATCCATCTTTTCCACCTACTCATGAAAATCTGCCACCCTCACCCAGTCTGTCATGCCACTTGATGGAATTTCATTACTCTTTAGCTCTAAAGATATTTAAATATATTTCCTTCTAAGTATAAAGACTTTTGGAACTTGATGTTATCCTGCACTTTTAAAAAATATATATTTCTTATTGGATATGACTCCTCAATTTTTACATATATTAAGGTGATAGTCTAATGAATTCTAGGTCACTTTCTTTAAAGGCAATTCCAACTAACAGCTCTGAGATTAGATGTCAGTGTATCTTAACCTTCACTGCTTTAGAGCAGTGCGTCTATGTGTTGTGGGAGGAATTACTATGACTAACAGGAAATGTTAAATAGTTGAGAATATACCTTTTTCCTGGTTACTCTCATAAACATGTTCTGCCTGTTTTCAGATGTCCTAGGGGAGGATTAAGAAGTTAAGTAAGAAGCTTGGGATGGAATGCAAATAGTCCCTATTTGAGGATTTCTGTCTTAAGCTAAAATACATACAGTTTCCAAAACATATAGACATAGCTCGCCCGAGTACACAAGTTGCTTAGCAATTTAAAATGGAGCTCTCTCCTCTGATGAGAAACTGCCCCGGGTTCCTTTGCCTCTCAGATCAGGTCCAAGTTAATTAGCATCATGTTCAAATAAAATCATTTCTCTTGAGCTTAATTCACTATGCAGTTATGCTGTCATACTATCCAACAAAACCCTTGGACCCGCTGGTTGACTTGTTTTCTGTTCCCCCAAATATGTTTAATTTCCGTAACTATGTTTTATTAACTACCCTACCTTCCTGGCTCCTTGCAACTGACTTCTGGAGATTCTTTAAGGCTCAGTTCAAAATTTTTCTTTTCGACTGCTTCATCCCACTATTCTCTGCCTGTGTACTCCCGCAGTACTAAGTCCAGAGTGACTTCAGATCATATTCCATCCAGTCCTGTAGTGACCTTTTTTAAAAAAAAGATTTTATTTATTTATTTGACAGAGAGAGAGCGAGAGAGAGAGATAGAGTGAGCGCACAAACAGGGGGAGCAGCAGAGTCTGGAGAAGTCGGCTCTCCGCTGAGCAGGGTTCCTGATGTGGGAATCCATCTCAGGTTCCTGGGATCATGACCTGAGCCGAAGGCAGACCCTTAGCTGACCAAGCCACTCAGGTGTCCCAGCTGTAGTTATCTTTATACATAAATTCTTCCTTCTTAGTATTTTACA